TCTATTTAGTTTTACTCCTACAGTAAATATATCAAAAAAAATCATGTAAATTAACCATGTTATTAAAAATATATTTAGAAATTAAGGAAATCATTTACAGCTATATAAACATTATTTAAAGGTTTGAGTGAGCTTAAATGAAAGAAAGGTACAATATGTAAAAGCTTCCAACTATTAAGATCTTCCAGTTTATATTTTATGCTTGAACAAATGTTGAAATTTATATCTACTATACCCCTTTTGAATATTCATTAACAGTTTTTTTAGGTACACTTTCCACAGTTTTTCAGGTACACTTTCACAGTCTATTAAGGACACCTTTCACGGTATAAAATGAATTTATCTGGACAGAGAACTTCAGCGCTTTTATAAGTTAATTTTTATGTAATGTTAAAAATTTTAACGAAGAAATACATTCATACCTCCGCGTATACTTTTAAGCTGCGAGACAATTAGAATAGGCGCGTTCCACGTAAGACTAGCTATCCACACAACAGTGATCATCTTGTAAGCGTGGAACTCGGTTTGCCATCGTCTTGATTTCAGCGGTCTGCAAATAGCGAAGTACCGCTCCAATGAAATTGCGACGAGTGTCCAGACTCCTACAGAAACTGACACAGCTGTAATAAAGAAATAAAGAATTTCTCTACAGCGAGACAATACCACTTTATCTAAAACTTGTTGCAATGAAAACATTTGGAGACTAGTGAAATTTATATCATGTAATGATCATAATGGTTGATTTTTATATGATTTTTTATGTGATTTAAAATCGTGTATAATGTAAATATAATCTAAAAACATTTAAAATTGTTTTGCACCAGTCTAGGTCAATTTTAATGTCGACATAATTATCTGTTACCACAATATTTCCCAATAGTCATATAATTTTAAATGGCATGAAATTATTGAGATACGTATTTGAGATTGGTACTAAATCATAAAATTATATAATAATAAATGTTATGACACGTATAATTACACATTATAAATGATATATCTCTCATTGGTCACTGTTTTCCGTTAATAACTCGTAAACAAAACCGCGAATTGCATTTGCGCTGAGGCAAAAGTTACTTCAAATCATGTCAGGAACCCCTCATTTCCCAGAAGTAGCATAATTTTAGGATACCCTATATTTAGTAAATGCATAATAAACATTATTATCAACTCTTAAATGTATTTCAGAAAGGATAACATCGAAACCGCATTTGTACACAGGAACTTATTGTTCGCGAATAATTAACTTGTCCGGTAAATAGTGTAAACAGTAATTATATACGCGCGTCAACAAACTGTGTGGCTTTAAATATTTACTTTCCTGGGTAATGTATAGGAGAATTTTTACCTGAGTAAATTATAATAGCTTGGTTCCTACCTATATGGAAGTCCTTTGTTTGAATAACAATTGCAGTATCCCGTTTCACACATTTTACTTATTTACAATTACATCTACATTAAATTCCAGATTTTAAATTCATTTACATACGTATTCGCTTCGACGATATGAAAATACAAATATTTAGAAAACGAATTATAATTTTATTAAGATGTATTTAATTTACCAGATTTGTTATCGGAATATGTCATATTATTATTATTATTACTATTATTAATATCATTATTTCAACCTTGGAAAACGTAGATTTCACAAATGCAAGTCTTCAAAGAGACCAAGAATTTGCTACTTTAAATTAATGCAGGCTCTTCCTCATCTTACATTTTAATATTCTAGTTTCTAAGGAGAGCACCGAGAATGGTTTTAATTATAGGTTCATCAATTTCAAGAACTGGATTATGTCAAGACATTCAGAACGAAATTTCCACTATCTTCTTTGTAACTGTGCAACATTCATTACTACTCAAATGATTTGTTATTTTAATTGTGTATAGTTTCAGATTGAAAATGAAATTGTATTGCACATAGTTGACATATCTCAGACAGTTAATGTATTTTGATGTAAAATTAGTATACTAGGTGGTCCTTAAATTTCTGGTAACAGTATTTGTCATATTTTCAATAATTTAACTAAATTTTTCAAACCAAAATGTATCAAATTCGAGTCAACATCATTTTGTATCTTTAAAATAACACCAAATATACTATAAGAAAAATGAATTCACTGATGTAACAGCACCTTCATTTTAATTGTGTTAGTATTGTGATTCTTTTTTTAATTGTTATGAACGGTTTCATTGCTCATAAATAACGCTGATGTTTCCATTACAATGAATCCCTTTTCCATTAATGACACGGTGAAATGTATTGGGTTGTTGCAAAAGTAATTTCGTTCTTTTTGTAACCTATCTGTTTGGAAAACCGAAATTACTTCTGCAACAACCCAATACGAAGCTACCCTTTAACCTTTGGCACAAGCCACATAGTGGAATGCAATGTATCGTTACATTTATCATTGAATCCAACTTCGGCATAATAACCTGAAGTGTTCCCCATTGGTTTGCAAAATGATTTAATGTAAAAATAGGATTAATCGTAATTTATCAAATCATAATTTCAACGGACGACTTCGTTGTTGAATGTATTATTATTTTGTTGTACGTATGTACATATTTGTATGTATTGTATGTATTAGCAGTAATGTAACATTGATATAATTTTAACCAGTGGTTCTGTGAAAATAGATTTCTTTGCAAAAATGTGTAGTACTCCTATCTGTTTATCTATTAAATATTCACACACAGTATTTGAGTCTCCTTTTATTCAAGCAAACTGATCGTTGGCCGCTTTATTCTTTCAGAGAGCTACATCCCGTAATGCATATTCATTAGTTTCTGTGACTGGAAAATAATTAATGCAGTTGTTGAATCGTTCTTTGCTATATTCTTTTAACTTTTTTCCATAACATGTTACGGTTCCCCTACTTTTTTCCAATTTAACTTAAGTTTTTATTTATCCTATCATACGGTGGAGTAGCTCTCACTTTATTACTGGTAGAATTTATCATGGGATTTAAGGGCCAAGTTACCGAGGGATTACTCTGCTAAACATTGCGTGCACCGAGAAGAACAAACGGCTTTGTATACTATTTATATTATACTTGTTAGGCAAAAATGATGCAATTTATTTAATAACCAATCAAAAAAGGTACTGTAAAGATGTTCTTTAGTTCTTGTAATTACTTGGTAATTGCAAAATAAAAAATGTCATATATTTCTAATTTCAATCGTTAAATGAAATAACGACTTAATATTATAATTTGTGGTTTTAGGTGGAATATAGCGCTCTTCTAATATGATCCTAAACAGAGTTGTGCAGAATTAATTCTTTCAACCTTTCTGCTATCTTAATTTGCAACTATTCAGTTTCGCAATAAATGTCGCAATAATATTGTCTTGACAAACGTGTCAAACTGTGTTGACTATATCCTCGAATTAGTCAATATGTGATTAGGTATTAAATGAGATTGTAGTAGATATGTAGATATGAATTGACACTGTGTACTAGTATAAACTATGAATATATTGTTTATGTTTTTTAATTTGTAAAATATGCTGATCGTTTTAACGGATGGTTTCAGAATGCAGTGTATTTAAATAATTACTTTCGTTAATATATTTCTATTGCGTATCTCCCATGTTTATTTAAATGAACTGATAAACTGAAGCATGGTAATTAAATACGCATACAACACTCTCGAAGACAGCCTGGTTGAAAAATGTGTATTACGTCTTCCATATACAATCATCCTTTTCTGAAGGTGGTAGTTGTTATAGAACATCCTGTACACTATAGCGAAATTTATCATATCGTTTATTGCTTTAATTTTTACAGGCGGTGCTTATAGTTACGAATTGTAGTTTGTTACACAGTATGAACGATGTTTCATGGTATTTTTATCTACTACTGCTGCACGTCCATGTGCTCTGTGTTATGGGTGTTCCATGTCGTGAATCGTACGACCTAGTAGCTTGATTTAGTGTCCACTGGTTTACTGTATCTCTGGAATAGGCATTATGGTTCACTGTATGCAAACTGTTTATCTTTCAGACTACAGTCGTATTTTATGATTCGGGAGGGTTTCATTCTTCGTTTTCGCAATTCAATAGCGATGACAGTGTTTCGTAATCTGTGATTACGAATGTATGTATTTAAGTAGAGGGAGAGACTGATTAAAATTAAGAAAACAGTACATAGATCAGTAGAAGCATAATACAGTACTGGAAGTATTTATTTCACTGATTTAAAATAAATTGTTCCGAACGAATGTTTATATTAAATGTTAAATATTTCATCGTTTATTTTAAATATTTTAAATAATATCTATTAAAATTCATTTTAAATAATGTTTAAATACCAATTGAGGTACAGTATAGTTGATTTCCCTTCTTTTACGATTAATATTATTTTCAAGTTAAATTTATTATAGACAATAGAATTTTATTCAAATTTTCCGAATATTATAAATAAAGCAACGAATATTAATGAAGTAATGCACAGTTGCTGGTTATTAAACTGAATATTTTACCAAAAACATAAAGACACTAGCTTATCGATCTAATCAATTAATAACGCTCAAATTATAAATGTAGTAGATACAGAATTCTGTAAATTGAGAGAATACTTTTGAAACACACTGTACATCCATTGACTTCGTTTTATCTCTGCGCTTTTGTTGGATGTGTGATAGTTAACGCCTTAATTTAGTCTCTATAAATAATCGAATTGCTCGAATACTGATTTAATCGCTTAGCAATAATTCACCATGAGAACTATCGGAATGGTTAAATTGCCTGTCCTGCTACAAACGTCGGCAGTGGTTGACGTTGTGTTATTGGAAAGCTCGCAATGTTACTCGCCTGTTTTTTTCCCTCCGAACAATTTTGCTATTGGCACTTCTGCGTGCAGCGTATTGCCTTTAATTATTCTAGTTCTTTGTGTGGACATTCGATCGATACCAAATCGATGCTTCCGGAATTCCACATTATAGTTCCAGGGAATAGATTCTCTCTGTAGATTAATCTATAAGCGCTGCTCCTGCGCCACTGCTTTTGCAGTACTTAGACTTATTACTAGTAAAAATGATACTGTGAAAATAAAAATAATCTATAATCAGTTAAGCATTTATTTCAGTAAATATTTCAGTCAGTCAACAGTTTCAGTTATGGATCAACAAATTATTTCGAGTAATACAATTCAGCATAATTTCTTCAAAGATTATAATTTAAAAAGAAATTTTTTACAAAACTTCCATTAAATGCATCACAGTAATTCAGAAACTATTAGTCGTTCGAAATAGATTTTCAACAGCTAAAGTTTTAATATATACATATGTGTGAATTATTTGTGTAAGTGTTTGAAAAAATTTAGAATTTTATTTTACGGTTCCTTCAGCTCTTTGTTATTTAAAAACGACGTTTTAGTTTTCCTTCTCTATTCTTTTCTTTTACAATTCTATTCCGCGTTAAAAGAAAATGTAAAATGAAGAAACAAGTTAGAGAGTTAACTACGATGCATCGTGTGCCGCATTACGTATCGTGTTGCAGCGCTAAAATATTTTAATCTAGGCTCGGGGATAAATCTTTCTGATGCAGGTGAACAGACTGAGATGGGCGGAATGTACTCTTGTGTAGAGCTTTTTGCAGCTTGTGAGATTCACGC